TGACGTTTTTATGCCTTACTATACTATGACGTTTTTATGCCTTACTATACTATGACGTTTTTATGCCTTACTATACTATGACGTTTTTATGCCTTACTATACTATGACGTTTTTATGCCTTACTATACTATGACGTTTTTATGCCTTACTATACTATGACGTTTTTATGCCTTACTATACTATGACGTTTTTATGCCTTACTATACTATGACGTTTTTATGCCTTACTATACTATGACGTTTTTATGCCTTACTATACTATGACGTTTTTATGCCTTACTATACTATGACGTTTTTATGCCTTACTATACTATGACGTTTTTATGCCTTACTATACTATGACGTTTTTATGCCTTACTATACTATGACGTTTTTATGCCTTACTATACTATGACGTTTTTATGCCTTACTATACTATGACGTTTTTATGCCTTACTATACTATGACGTTTTTATGCCTTACTATACTATGACGTTTTTATGCCTTACTATACTATGACGTTTTTATGCCTTACTATACTATGACGTTTTTATGCCTTACTATACTATGACGTTTTTATGCCTTACTATACTATGACGTTTTTATGCCTTACTATACTATGACGTTTTTATGCCTTACTATACTATGACGTTTTTATGCCTTACTATACTATGACGTTTTTATGCCTTACTATACTATGACGTTTTTATGCCTTACTATACTATGACGTTTTTATGCCTTACTATACTATGACGTTTTTATGCCTTACTATACTATGACGTTTTTATGCCTTACTATACTATGACGTTTTTATGCCTTACTATACTATGACGTTTTTATGCCTTACTATACTATGACGTTTTTATGCCTTACTATACTATGACGTTTTTATGCCTTACTATACTATGACGTTTTTATGCCTTACTATACTATGACGTTTTTATGCCTTACTATACTATGACGTTTTTATGCCTTACTATACTATGACGTTTTTATGCCTTACTATACTATGACGTTTTTATGCCTTACTATACTATGACGTTTTTATGCCTTACTATACTATGACGTTTTTATGCCTTACTATACTATGACGTTTTTATGCCTTACTATACTATGACGTTTTTATGCCTTACTATACTATGACGTTTTTATGCCTTACTATACTATGACGTTTTTATGCCTTACTATACTATGACGTTTTTATGCCTTACTATACTATGACGTTTTTATGCCTTACTATACTATGACGTTTTTATGCCTTACTATACTATGACGTTTTTATGCCTTACTATACTATGACGTTTTTATGCCTTACTATACTATGACGTTTTTATGCCTTACTATACTATGACGTTTTTATGCCTTACTATACTATGACGTTTTTATGCCTTACTATACTATGACGTTTTTATGCCTTACTATACTATGACGTTTTTATGCCTTACTATACTATGACGTTTTTATGCCTTACTATACTATGACGTTTTTATGCCTTACTATACTATGACGTTTTTATGCCTTACTATACTATGACGTTTTTATGCCTTACTATACTATGACGTTTTTATGCCTTACTATACTATGACGTTTTTATGCCTTACTATACTATGACGTTTTTATGCCTTACTATACTATGACGTTTTTATGCCTTACTATACTATGACGTTTTTATGCCTTACTATACTATGACGTTTTTATGCCTTACTATACTATGACGTTTTTATGCCTTACTATACTATGACTTTTTATGCCTTAATATACTATGACGTTTTTATGATTTTTCGTGCCTTTCTATACTATGAGGTTTTTATGACTTTTTATGCCTTACTATAATATGAAGTTTTATGCCTTACTATCCTGTGACGTTTTTTTTTACTTTTTATGCCTTACTATACTATGACGTTTTTATGACTTTTTATGCCTTACTATACTATGACTTTTATGCCTTACTATACTATGACGTTTTTTTTAACTTTTTATGCCT